GTTTACATATACATATAGACACACAAATATTTACCATTGTGTTACAGTTGCTTAGAGTATTCAGTACAGTCACTTGCTAATAGGTTTGTAGCTTAGGAGCAATAGGCTAAACCATACAGCCTAGTTGTATAGTAGGCTATCCCACCTAGGTTTGTGTCAGTGCACTCTCTGATCTTTGCTCAACAATGAAATCACCTAACAACATATTTCTTGGAACCTATACCTGTTGTTAAGCAACATATGTCTGTGGTATCTTGGGAACTGTTTGTGGCCATTTAAACATTACTCAGGAATTGTTTATAATACCTGATTACACCCTACGAATCTATGAAATGCTTAGATTTTTTTTAACTTCCTTTGGCTCAGCTGCCAAAGAAGCTCATGCAATGTTGGAAAAGTCTCACCCTCCAGGCACTGGTCCCAGACCCTAGGGTGTGAGTGCTTCTGAGAGACACTGGGTTAGTGTCTGGGCATGGTTTTGTTTAAGATCTACAATCTAAACTGATCCAGAGCTGTGACTTCCTTGACACCAGTTCCTTTCTATTGTGCACTACATTACTTTCCATCCTAACTGGATCTGTATGTAGTACCTTGTGCTTTAATTTTTTGAGTGTCAATCATGTGAAATATAATAATAGCCACCTGTTTATGAGTGGATTAATTGAAACATTACTTAATTGAATTTATTTAAAAAGTGAACCTGGGATTTTCAGTGTGATGTCATACTTAGACAACTTAGCATAGTACCTCACACACAGTAAAGCACTCAATAAATTTTAGTTGTCATAACTGTTAGAATGCCTTCAAGAAGCAGCATTCCACCAGGGGAAAGGCATAGGAGACACCCCCTGCCCTGGCAGAGGGAATAGGACATACTAAAGTCCTGATGGGCCAAAGAACCTGTGGCCCTCCAGAGTTCCAGGCATGCTAGTGAGGGGGAGCTGGCCCAGTGGTGAGTGTCAGGGGTACCTGTGGAGCCAGGTCTTTTCCCTTATGGAGGAAGTTTGGGTTTCATGGTAAGTTACTGGAAGTCAGAAGGGTTTCAAACTGAGACCAGTCAGATTTGTCTTGTTAAAAACTATCTCCTGGAGAGTGGATATAAGGAGGTTCTTTATGAGGTTTGGCCATACGGTAGGTAACTAGCCTTGGGCAGCCACTTAAACTCTGTGTGTCTCAATGTCCTCATCTGTAACACAGATTCAATAGTAATACCTACTATAGGGTGTGAGGATTAAATGAGTGCCATTTGTAAAGCACTTCAAACAGCTCCCAGAATATAGTAAGTGCTTTATGTGTTTGTTAAACAGAATTCGAAAAGTCTGGTGGCAGAAGGTTGAGTATTTCCAGTTCTGCCCTCTCTCCACCTAACATCAGACTGCCCCTAACTCTGAGCCTGCCTAGTTTCCAATCCAAGCCCTCCTGGCCTCTCCCCTCCTCTGCCTGGGTCTACCTGGGACACTTCCACATGGATTTCACATGTGGCTGGCCAGGCCTGGTTGGGCTTTCCTTCTCACCCCCACCCAACACCTCATTGCACCCCACTCTGGGGTTCAGGCCCTGTCCTGAGCTTGCTGGAAGCACCAAGTGCCCTCCCTGCTGTGGAAGCCCTACCCCTCCAGTGAGCATGGCTCCGCTCTGGGTAGCACACTGGCTTGTGTCTCATCTCCCTGATTGCCAACCCTAATGTGGCTGCTTGCTCTCACCCAGATTGTGCTTAGTTTGGGGAAAGAACTTGGAGATAACTTCTTCTGGGACTATTGTCAGCTCCTGTTTGTTTTCTGTACTTAAGGCAGGTTTGAACGAAAAGAGGGGGAAAATGGCAATATATTCAAATAGCTGAATCCAGCCTTTCTTTACTCTAGTAAGGATCCTTTTAATATCGTATACCTTATGAAAAGTTCATTCTGATTCTGTAAATGTCCTGTTTTTCTCCCTTTCCAGTTGATTCGGTTTTTTATATATCATGCTGTACATATTGCTGGCCTTTGTTTCTTTAATCATTCATGTCTTCTCCCGAGTAGTAATATTTTAAAGCTACTGTGTTAACTTTTCTCACTTGAAAACACTAGACAGGATGTTATGTAGAGATGGCGGATTTCAATTTAATATTACTGAGGAGTGTTTGCTTGGAGTTATTTTTTGAAGATACTGAGGCAGGTCTGAGCACCAAGGGAGAAAGTGCCGTGGTCTGCACAAAAGGATGTGAACTAGATTTAGGGTAGAGTTTTTCCCCAGGGCTAGGGACTGCTGTAGAATTGTTGTGGGGAAGGGAAGAGGGCACAGAAGGCTTCATCTGTATTTTTTTTTTTTTTTTTGAGACAGTGTCTCATTCTTGCCTGGGCTAGAGTGCCATGGCGGCAGCCTAGCTCACAGCAACCTCAAACTCCTGGGCTCAAGTGATCCTCTTGCTTCAGCCTCCCAAGTAGCTGTGACTATAGGCACGTACCACCATGCCTGGCTAATTTTTTCTGTATATGTTTTTAGTCAGCCAATTAATTTATTTCTATTTTTAGTAGAGATGGGGGTCTCACTCTTGCTCATGCTGGTTTCGAACTCCTGACCTTGAGCCATCCTCCCGCCCTTAGCCTCCCAGAGTGCTAGGATTATAGGCATGCCACTGCACACCGCACCGGCCCTAATCTATATTTCTGATATTTTATTGATGGTAGTTGAAAGTTTGATGGTGGGTGAAATTTGTCATTTTATACCTTTTTATATATGTGAAATATTTTATGATGAAATTGAAAGAAGTGCCATAATAGATTAGTGATAAGTGCCCTGGGTGTCACTGGTATGTATGCTATGTGTTTGTTGTTCATGGTCTATGGTGCCTACCCATCACCAAAGTACCCTTAGCCTCTGTCCTGGATTGGACTGTCATCTCCAAGTATTTGTGTTTGGATTTACATATATACACATGTACATTTATATGCACATATGCATATTCATTTTATCTTATAATGTGTTATCACAAGATGCAGTGTAAGATTTTTTTAAAAAAATCAAATATTTCCAAATAAAATCTTTTTAAAATAGTAAATATTTTTTTCTGATTATAAAAGTATTACTGCTGGCCTTGGAACCTGCCACAGTTCTCCTAGAGTCTCTCAACAGATTCTCGACCATCTTTGAAGCATTTGTGCCACACTTTTATCTGCACCGCGCTCGTTGCATTGTCCCCGAAAGCCTTCGGACTCATCTGAATAATTTCCGTGGAGGAATGTTCAAGCTTAATGCAAAATTTGATGCAGACTCATTGCTCTACTCCTTCAGTCATTCGAAGTGGATGGCCACACAGTACATGTGCTTACTCAGTGGCATCTAGTGCCCCACTAACACAGTGAAGTCATCCTTGTTCATGCATGCACATTCTAGTCCACTCTCCTTGGCTGCCAGGTTACATCAATGTGCTAACTGCCCTTGTTATGTTAATAATGGCTGCATACTTTCTGGACAGATCTACACATACATGCATGTGCATACTATAATGTGTGTGTGTTTGTATGTGTGTATAAACATAGAGTAGAAGAATACATTTTCATATGGTTGGTTACTTCTGTGGAGAGAATAGGAAGTGCATAGAATTGGTGAGGGGAAAATATATCCACTTATTTTTAAGGTACTGTTTTTAATATATATAACATGAAGTAACATGTATTAATATTTTAACATTTTAATATTCTGGGTGATGAGATATAGAACCGTATATTTCTAAAAAAAAAAAAGAAAGTGTTACTGCCGGTGTTTGTGTTTTCTCTTATTAACTGTTCATATTTATTTTTTATGCTCTTAGTGTTTGTTGTATATTTTGTACATTAATTTGATTACATATGATCTGTACTATTTGTTGTTAATATTCTTCCTAGTTTGTGCTTATGTTATTTTCTGATAACACGAAGTTTTATTTTTATTTAATGCAACCGATCTGTTTACCTTATGATTTGATTTTCAGTTTATAAAGTTCTTTCTTATTTAGATACTTGAGAAATACTTATAATTTCTTCCTGTTTATTATTTTATTTCATTTTTACATTGTTCTCTTTAATTTACATTAAACTCAAGTACATTTTGATAAATAATTTAAAGTGCAAATCTAACTTTTTTTCTTAAAATAGGTTTCCAGGCACCACTTATTTCATAATTTTTCTTTTGTCTGCCGATTTGTGATGTGTTGTCTTATATTAACACATTAACTGCCATCTGAGTTGTATTTAACTCAACGCTAGTTTTGAGCCTGAGATCTTGTGAAGCAAACCTGGGCAAAACTCTGCAGTTGGTTTGTGAAAATCTTACTTGTTGAGTTCTTATTGTTACAATTAATATTGATAATTTAATTCTAAAAATGTGGATTAAATGAATAGAAGTCAATAAATTTTGTTGTTCTACTTCTGTTTACCTTTAAATTATACTTAAGGCTTACAAGTTCAGAAAAATACTTTACCCTTATGAACTATTTTCCAAGGTTTCACATTATTTTTATATTATTCATTTTTAAGTTTTTATATTACTTTTTATTCAAAAAACAGAAAACAATATAAAAATAAAATTTTCATCAAATTAGAAAGGATCATTTTGTTTTTGAAATTTTTATTCTATTTTTTTAATAAATACCATGACCCCAAGGAAAAAAAAAATTTTCCAGTGTGGCAGTCAATGTGTTAAATTCTCATATCTACTCTGATAAATATATTTTACTGGGTTTAAAAACAATAAAGATTAATTCTTAATATAATTAAAGCATTTAATATGACTAAGCACTGTTTAGTCATTATATATTTTTGTTTTACTGTTTGACTCAGTTTTAATGTACTAAGTTTCATGCTTGTTTATTTCTTCTTTACACATTGAATCAAAGTGAGCTGAGTACTTAGACAAATAGAGATTTTTGTTTTCATAAAAACTACTTCATTTACAGATAACTCAAATTATAGGCATTGTACATATAGGCACTTGCATTCACTTTTAAGAAGTTAATTTTTCTCTTTCTGTTTGTTTTTTAGAGTTTAATATCTCATATACTTTCAGCATTCAGATTTGATAAAAAAGAAGTTGGTCGTTTCACTCAAGGTCTTGGGTATGCTCCTGTAGATTACTATCCTGGTTTGCTTAAAAATGTGAGTATTTTAAATTTATTAGTATTGAAATTTTCATTGCTGAATGTACTATCAGCAAAAAGGATAAATGGAAATATTTCACTCCTCCAGGAGAGATGTTTAACTTTTCTTTGTTTATCTCTTCTTACCTTGGGTAGACTTACGGCCATGTAAGGAAGAAATGTGAGATGGGAAGTTATGAGAAAGGAGAAGGAAACCAGGAAAGGTTTTATTAAATCTACCAATCAACCTCTTCTTCTCGTAACCCATCTCAGTTATTCATTCCAAGACTTTTGCAAGAAGAGCTTTCCTTAATCAGGATAAACACAGCCTGTACTGTTGGACAAATCTAGTATTTAAAATAACTTGATTGGAATTTTATGTTAAAGCAAAGCAGAAAATTCAATAAGTAATCTTGGAAATAGTATTGTATTAATATATTTACCTCAGTATTTAAAGCTTTGTTTTCTTCTGGCTGAAATTGTAGTCAAATATAGGAAGTTTTAATCTATGATTTTGATATAACTTTTCTTAAAATATTATGAAATTTTTAATGTTTGTTAACCATTCTGGTTTTTGAAGTTTTATACATGAAAAGCACTTTTTTAAATGAACTAAAGTTAAAAAGAAGAAATAAACTAACTCTAACTTTTTAAAAATGGTTTGGTTTTAATTCTTAGGAAATTAATCATCTATTGTTCATTGCCTAAATAAGAATGCAGAATAATAGACATTAAACATAAAATCCCAGTTATTAGTAACTGTGACTTGGCGCTGTTTTCTTTTCACTCTGACAAAGTAAAACATAAGGAGAAGACGGCGGGGGGTGGGGAGAATCTCAACGGAAATATCACTCACACCAAGAAAAATAGAACTGATGTAATCCTGTTTGCAGTGTGAATTAACCTGCAACTGATTTTGTGTTACAGATGGTTTTATCATTAGCGTCTGAACTCAGAGAGAATCATCTTGATGGATTTAACACTCAAAGGCGGTAGGTGTTAAACGTCCCTATTCTCAACTTTCAAAATGTATCAGTTTAGTTATGAGAGTAAAATTTCATAATTCATAGGAAACTCATGTTCATAATTAAGGTTTTATTCTATATGGAGAGATTATTTTAGTGGAATACATAGCAAATTAGTGTATTTTTTCAAATTTTCTTTTTAAAATTACTATTCTCTCAACTATAATAGGGCAGTAAGTGGACTATGTAATGTTTTCTGTGTGCCCATTAGGTAAAAAGCCCTACATATACAGTAGGGAAAGCACAAGAGGGAGGAGCACTTGGTCTCACGCTGGGATTGCTCACTCTGTGAGAGGAGAAGGTGCTCCCTGCAGGCACTCGCATGTTAGCCTGTCCCTCTCTCCCCCGACCTCACCACACACAGTCAGGATATTTACAAGGCAACATTTGATGTCCACAGATGACTATTTTAAGAAACATAATATTCCAAAATCTAGACTAAACAAATCAAATAGATTCAAATTAAAAGGCAATTAATCACATTACAAATGTTTCTTCACTCTGTGAAAGAAATCAGAGTTGTTTTCATTGGTGAGCATTTCATTTCTAACATATCATTAACCAAGAGAATCTAGGGACTGAGGGACTTTGTGGTTTTTTTGTAAAGCTATTGCTAATTAAAGCTCTATCAGAAATAGTCTTTGCCCTCAACCTTTAAGAATCCGTTGCCGCTAACCCGTAAAGTAAGCTATAAAATTCTTAGAAGAAAACGTTGATGAAAATCTTCATGACATTGGATTTGGCAATGATTTTTCATATATGGCACCAAAGGTACAAGCAACAAAGAAAAAATAGTTAGATCAGAGTTTATTAACATTAAGAATTATTATGAATCAAAGAATACTATATTAGGAAAGTAAAAAGACAACTTACTGAGTGATTAAAAACATTTGCAAATATTATCTCTGATAAGGGATTAATGTCCAGAATATATAATGAACTCAACAACAAAAAACCTCAACTCAAAAGTGGGCAAAAGACTTGGGTAGACTTTTCTCCAAAGAGACAAAAGTAGAAAATAAGCATATGAAAAGATATTCAACATCACTAATCATTAGGGAAATGCAAATCAAAACCACAATGAAAAACCACATCCACTAGGATAACTATTATTTAAAAAAAAAAAAGGAAAGTAACAAGTGATAGTAAGGATGTGAAGAAATTGGAACCCTTGTTCATTGCTGGTGGAAATGTAAAATGATGCAACCACTGTGGAAAACAGTTTGGCAATTCCCCAAAAACATAAGCATAGAATTCTTCATGACCCAGAAATTCCTCTCCTAGATATATATCCAAAATTAGGAACTTTATTATATGTGGTGTGTGTGTGTATAAAAATATGAATGAAAGCAGAAATTTGAACAGGTAATCTGTACACCAATGTTGATTAGTCTCAGTAGCCAAAAGGTGGAGACATACCCAAGTGTCCTTTATCAGACAAATGGATAAACAAAATGTGTTTATTCCCTAAAAAGGAATAAAATTTTGATATATGTAAGAACAGAGAGGTACTTTGAAGATACATACCATTCTTATTGAAATAAGCCAGACACAGAAGGACAAATATTGTTTAATTCCACTTATATAAGGTACCTAGAATAGGCAAATTTATAGAGACAGGAAGCTCAATAGAGGTTACTGGGAGCTGGAGGGAAGGACAAAGGGGAAGTTATTGTTCAATGTGTATAGATCTTTTTCAGGGTATGATGAAAAATTTTGGTATATACAGAGTAGTGATGAGTAAACAGAATGTGAAATGCATTTAATGTCACTTATTGATTCCCACTTATAAGTGTTTAAATGATAACTATTATTTAGGTTTTACCACAATAAAAAAATAAGAAAAAAATCAAATGTCATACTATTATATACTCTCTCAAATGAATAAAATTTAAAATACTCAGATTATCATGTGTAGACTGATAGATACAGTAGAATTACTGTATCTCTCATACATTGTTAGTGAGAATGTGAAATGGAATAACTAGTTGCTAAATAGTGCAGCAGTTTATCATAGAGTTAAACATATGCTTACTATGCCACTTGCCCATTCTACTCTTGAGTATTTACTCATAGCAAATAAAAACATAGATACTACTACTTGCATATGAATGTTCATAGCTGCTTTATTTATAATAGTTCAAAACCAGAAACAACCCAAAGAACCATCAGCAAGTGAATGGATAAAAAAAAATCTGAATATCTGTTGCCCCAATTTGCAAAATGAAAAGACAGGTTGTAAATGGTGAGAAAATATTTTCAGATTGTACATCTGATAAAGGGCTCATATCCAGAATGTATTAAGAATTCAGTAATAAGACAAATAACCTAGTTTAAAAGTGGGCAAAAGATTGGAATACACATTTTAGTAAAAAATATATACAAATGGCTAATACCACCCAAGTACTTTTATGTGAATATTCATAGCATTATTCATAATGGGCAAAAAGTGGTAGAAGCAATCCAAATATACATCAACTCATGACTGGATAAACAAAATGTGGTATGGTTATACAATATACAATAGAACATTATTTCTTAATAAAATAAAGTTATCCATGCTGCAACATGGATGAACCTCAAAAACATTGTGCTAAGTAAAAGAAGACATCACAAAATACCACATATTGTATGATTTCATTTATATGAAATATTCAGAATAGGCAAAGCATAAAGTAGATTAGTTGTTACCTGGGGCTGGAAGTAGGAATTAAGGATTTCCTGAAAATGAGCACAGAGGATCTTTCCAAGGTGATGGAAATATCCTAAAACTAGATGGTGATGATGAATTTTCAGCTAAGTAAATTTATTACAATCCATTGAATTGCACACTTAAAATAGGTAAAGTGTGTGGTGTTCGGAAGTATACCTAAAAATAAGATGATGAATCTATGGGAGGCATTGGAAGTGTTTAGATTCATTTATTTATATGGCAGGTAAAGACTTTGATATTATAACCTCTTGAAAAAGAAATTAAAAAGTCTCTCTAATTAGGAAGTTACATGCACAAGCCCAGAGAAGACACATGATTGGAAAAGATTTGAAGGACTCCCCAAGATCTCTAAGTGGGCTAATTGGTGAAGGTCTTCCCTTGTACAATGCCAGTCCATACAAACTGGGAGAAATGGCTTTTTTAAATGCATAAAACAGCAAAAAACAAAACAAAACAAAAAAACCCAAAAAACAAACAAAAAAAAGATACACAAAACAGGGAAACATGGCCAAATAAAAGGATCAAATAAATCTCCAATCCCTAAATTAGTAAGAATAGTACATTGAAATTAGTAAGAAAAGCTATTTCTTATTAACCGTGATAGCCCTTCTTCCAAGCTGGCATAGCTTGGTGAAATTAGGAGGAAAAAATTGAGCATGTAGCTTCTCCATTGGCAGGGACAGAAGAAGGGGATTGCATCCACACTTCTAGCTTTTCAGGGGCTGTCTGAGGAACTAGCTTCTGTCTTGTCTGAGTTGGAGCACTGATGGATGCTGGCATAGAATAGTCTCCCCTTATCTACAGGAGATACATTCCAAAATACCCAGTGGATGCCTGAAATCACAGATAATACTGAGCCCAATTTTTGTCAGTCATGTTTCTTTTTATGTTTATTAAACCCACAGGTTTAATGCCTTTTCCATCTTAAACTAAGCATTTATCACACAAGGTGGCTGTAACTTTTGCTTTCTGAGGTGTGACAGCAAAACTAGCACAAATTTCTTTTTCCTTCTTCACAATTTCATAGATAGGAGATTCATTCTTACAATAGATCTTAGCAACTTAAGCATATGATTTTTTTCTTTCCTTATTTAGTCAAGAACTTTTGCCTTTTTACTTAAAGGAAGCATTTTACAGCTTCTCTTTGGTATATCTGAATCTCCAGTGTCACTACTATTGCACTTTGGAGTCACTATTAATTAAAATAAGGGTTACTTAAACACAAGCACAGCAATACAATAATAATTGATCTTATAATCAATACAGCTACTAAGTGATTAACAGCAGATAGCGTATACAACATGGATATGGTAGACAAAGAGATGATTCATGTCCTGGGCAGGACAGAGTGGGATAGCATGAGATTTCATCACGCTACTCAGCACACAATTTAAAACGTATGAATTGTTTATTTATGGAATTTTCCACTTATTTTTGGACTGTGGTTGACCATGGATGACTAAAACCATGAAAAGAAAACTGTGGATAAAGAGAGACTATTTTGGTTGCCTTGGGGTCACAGAGAACAAAACAAAGCGTAGCAGTTTGTTGCAGCACCAGAGAACTGACAGAGCTACATGTGGAGGCTGGCACAGCTCAGCAGGATTGGGAGAAAGCGCCCAGCTCAAGGCTTCTCCCTTGGAAGGGAAAGAGAGAAGTGGAATGTGTACCCAATGCTCTGGCTTTTCAAGGGGCTACCAGAGGGACTGGTTTCTGTCTTGCCTAACTTGCAGCACTTTTAGGGAATTGGCATACTTTGGATGCATGGAATATTTTGAAGAACAAAAGAGAACTCAGCAGCTTTGTTGCAGCACTAAAGAACCTGCAGTACCACAAATAGACACCAGAGCAATGGAGATATTATAACCTCTTGAAAAAGAAATTAAAAAGTCTCTCTAATTAGGAAATTACATACACAAGCCCAGAGAAGACACATGGTTGGAAAAGATTTGAAGGACTCCCCAAGATCTCTAGGTGGGCTAATTGGTGAAGGTCTTCCCTTGTACAATGCCAGTCCATACAAACTGGGAGAAATGGGCTTTTTTAAATGCATAAAATAGCAAAAAACAAAACAAAAAAACCCAAAAAACAAAAAAACAAGATGCACAAAACAGGGAAACATGGCCAAATAAAAGGATCAAATAAATCTCCAGAAACTGACCTTAAAGAAATAGAGTTCTATGAATTACCTGATAAAGAATTCTAAATAATTGTCTTAAGGAATCTCAGTGAAATACAAGAGAACATGGATAAA